ACTGTCACCTAATACTCTCTGCTGAGTCATGAGATTACTGCAACTTTCAATTCGCTAAGGACATCAAGGCCACTGAGCATCCCTTCCCTATCAGTCTATATTAATTCCACACATTTTGGCCCTAACACTATAGTAATTAAGCACTCATACTACACTACAATAATTAAGCATTAGTAATTGAGCAAATATTGTTCTAAATGCTTTATGTACAATTAACTCATTTAATCATCACAACAACCCAATGAAATAGTTCTCCAAACCTTTTCTCTTTTGTAGATTAAGAAACTGAAGCATAGAGAAGTTCTATAACTATACCCGTATTGTTAAAGAGGCAAGCTACAGAACCCAGAAAGTCTGGATCCAGAGTCTGTTACTTTCTAGACCAATATGCTCTGCTAACTCCCACACTCTTGACTTTTCCCTGTAATTCCAGATAATCACTAAGTTGCTCTTCAATAGGGGCTGGGAATAGTGATCACATAGGGTTAGCCTTAGCTATTATGTTTTTTTTTTTTTCAAGAAGAATATATTCAGCTATAATTTGTAAAATAAAAAAACGTTTAAAATAACTTACTACAGTTCACAGCAGCACTCTCAACAATAGCTAAAACATGGAAAGAGCCTAAGTGTCCATCAATGGACGAATGGATCAAGAAGATGTGGTTTATCTATACCATGGAATACTACATGGCAATGAGAACCAATGAAATCTGGCCATGTGTAGCAACATGGATGGACCTTGAAGGTGTTATGCTGAATGAAATAAGTCAGGCAGAGAAGGACAAATATCATATGTTTGCACGTATAGGAGGATTTGGAGGACCTTAACTGAGAAACAAGGGGGGGAAGAAGGGGGGAAATGGTGGGGGAAAGGGAGAGAGGCAAACCTTGAGAGACTCTTGAATGCTGACAAAAACTTAGAACTGATGGATGTAGGGGGGAGGGGGGATGGGCATGGAGGAGGCCACTTGTGGGGATGAGCACTGGGTGTTATGTGGAAACTAATTTGACAATAAACTATTTGTAAAAAAATAAAAAAAAAAATAAATAAATAAAATAACTTACTACAAAGCTATAGTAATCAAAACTATGGTACTGCTATAAAGATACACATAGAGACCAATGAAATAGAGTCCAGAAATAAATTGTCATGTGGATGGTCGAATGATTTTTGACAAGAGATCCAAGACCATTCAACAAGGAAAAGACAACTGTTTCAACAAATGGTGCTGGGATAACTGATTATTCACATGCAAAAGAATGAAATTGGATCTGTACCTACCACTATACATAATTAAATCAAAATGGACCAAGACTCAAATTTAAGAGCTATGGGGCACCTGGGTGTCTTAATTGGTTAAGCTTCCAACTCTTGATTTCAGCTCAGATCATGATCACATGGTTCATGGGTTTGAGCCCTATATTGGGCTCTGTACTGACAGCATGGAACCTGCTTGGGATTCTCTCTCTCTCCCTCTCTCTTTGCCCCTTCCCCACTTACTGTGTCCCTCAAAACAACTTACTAAACTTAAAAAAAACTTAAGAGCTAAAACTATAAAACCTTCAGAGTTTATTTGGGGTGATAAAAAAGTTCTAGGGATGGATAAGCATAATCATAACAACATGAAGGTACTCAATGCCACTGAACTATACACTTTAAAAAATAATTAAAATGGTAAATTCTGGGGCACCTGGGTGGCTCAGTCGATTAAGCATCTGACTTCGGCTCAGGTCATGATCTCACGATTCGTGGGTTCGAGCCCCATGTCCGGTTCTGTGCTGATAGCTAGCTCAGAGCTTGGAGCCTGTTTCAGATTCTGTATCTCCCTCTCTCTCTGACCCTCCCCTGTTCATGCTGCTTTTCTCTCTCTCTCTCTCAGAAATAAATAAAACATAAAAAAAATTTTTTTAAATAAATAAAATGGTAACTTTTATGTTTATCATATTTTACTACAATAAAGAAATGTATAAAATGAATAAATATAGGGGCGCTTGGGTGGCTCAGTCAGTTGAGCGTCCAACTTTTGATTTCGGCTCAAGTCACCATCCCAGAATTCATGGGTTCGAGCCCTGTGTTGGGCCCCTCACTAAGGATGGAGCCTGCTTAAGATTCACTCTCCCGTGAGCGCATTAGGTCGTTATCTCAAGGTTTGTGAGTTCAAGCCTTGCCTTGGGCTCTACACTGACAGCTCAGTGCATTAGGTCATTATCTCAAGGTTTGTGAGTTCAAGCCTTGCCTTGGGCTCTACACTGACAGCTCAGAGCCTGGATTCAGATTCTGTGTGTCTCTCTGTCAGAAGTAAATGAATAAACATGTCCCTCCCCTGCTTATGCTCTATCTCTCAAAAGTAAATGGATAAACATTTTAAAAAATTCTTTAAAAAAAAGATTCTCTCTCTCTGTGCACCTCTCCCCCCTCAACCTCTCTCCCTAAAATTAAAAAAAAAAAAAAAAAATTGTGGGGCACCTGGGTGTCTCAGTCGGCTAAGCAGCTAACTTTGGCTCAGGTCTCAATCTCGCGGTTCATGAGTTCAAGCCCCACATCAGGCTCTGGGCTGATAGCTCAGAGCCTGGAGCCTACTTCAGATTCTATGCCTTCCTCTCTCTCTGCCCTCCCCTGCTCACACTGTCCCTCAAAAATAAATAAATATTAAGAAAATTTTTTTTAATTGAATAAATACATAAAATTGACCCCTCTGTTCTTGTCTTAGAGGTCTCCTTTCTGATTCCTGAATGTTATTCCTGTCTGTATCTGTTTAATTATCAGGCTCTTCAGTGGCTATGGCCCCTTTTTTATAAGCTCTTACTCTCTATTTTAAACTTAGAGTCATTAGCTTTCATTTTTAATTCTATGCAGATTGTCCTGAAAAGTACCTTTCCAGTCCTGATGGCTCCACTCCTCATTCAGGATTTCCATTTAAATTTCCTGTTAACATCTCTAACTCAAATGTCCAAAACAGAACACACCTTATTCCCTTTGAATTCATCCTTCTTTTTAAATTCATTACAATATCAGCACTACTCCAGTTACTCAAGTTAAAGTAAAAGCAGAACTCTACTAAACTTCTAGGTCCTTTTTTTCCTTTTTTAAGTTGGCTCCATGCTGGGCATGGAGCCCAACATTGGGCTTAAACTCATGACTCTGAAATCAAAGCCTGAGCTGATATCAAAAGTTAAATGCTTAAAGGACTGAGCCACCCAAGCACTCCTTTTTTTTTTTTTTTTTAAGTAATCTCTGTACCCAACATAGAGAGCTGGAACTCACAAGCCCTAGATCAAGATTTGTATGCTCTAGGGGTGCCTGGTTGGCTCAGTCAGTTCAGTGTACAACTTCAGCTCAGGTCATGATCTTGCAGTTTGTGGGTTCGAGCCTCATACTGGGCTCTGTGCTAACAGCTCAGAGCCAGTGTCTCCCTCTCTCTCTGCCCCTCCCCTGCTTGCACTCTGTCTGTCTGTCTCTCTCAAAAATAAATAAACATTAAAATTTAAAAAGAAAGAAAGAGTTATATGCTTTACTGACTGAGCCAGCCAGATGCCCCTTTAGGCCTTTTTCATACAACTCTGTCCTTCATAGTGCTTTTAACAATCTGTCATTTTCTTGGGTATTTGTTTACTTACTTACATTGTCTACCTTCTCAACTAGAAAAAATATAAATAGGAGCTCCATGAAAGTTAGGAATCTTGATCAACTTAATCATGACTCTGTCCTCAGTTCTAGTAGAGCACCTAGTCCATATCAATCTCATAATAAATACTTACTGAATGCTGTTATACCTTACATTTGCTTTTATTAACAATAAAAACATATGTGGGCTATTATAAACTGCTTTTCTTTCTTTCTTTCTTTTTTTTTTAATGTTTTATTCTTGAGAGAGGGAGAGAGAGCACAAGTGGGAAAGGGACAGAGAGAGCAGGACAGAGGATCTGAAGTAGGCTCCATGCTATCAGCACAGGGCCTGATGTGAGGCTCGAACCCACAAACCATGAGATCATGACCTGAAGTCAGACACTCAACTGACTGAGCTACGCAGGTGCCCCTATAAACAGCTTTGAATATTTAATCCTATTCACAGCAGTCCTACTGAGGAAGTATTTCTCTTTATTATGCTTTCTCTTTTATAAATAAGAAACTGAGCTTTAGATTGGTTAAGTGTTTTGCTCATGATTATCACACTAAATAAGAGAATGAGGACTAGATGGGGCGCCTGGGTGGCTTAGTCGGTTAAGCGTCCGACTTTCGCTTAGGTCACGATCTCTCGGTACGTGGGTTCAAGCCCTGCATTGGGCTCTGTGCTGACTGCCAGCTCAGAGCCTGGAGCCTATTTCAGAGTCTGTATCTCCCTCTCTTTCTGACCCTCCCCTGCTCACGCTGTCTCTCTCTCTCTCCTAGAAATAAAAATATTTAAAAAAAAAAAAAAAAAAAAGAGAATGAGGACTAGAATGCAAGTACTTGACTATATCCTAGTTGTCTTGTATAACCAATAAGTTTAAAAAGTACACTCCTACACATACTGCTTCAAAACAATGAAGTTGATTTGGAAATGCTAAGTACCTCAGAAACTATCTTTGATATATCAGTACATGGCCAGTAAGCCACAGGCTTCAGGTATGCCTCCCGTTGACATGGGAAGGATAAAAGACAAAAGGATCTGTTTTAAAATACCTGAAAAATGATGCTAGGTATGTTCCATCCATTACTATTATTCTGGAGCCATCATTTACACCAGATTACATTGATGGTGACATACTCAAACTACTAACTGGAAACTTCTCACCCAGCAGTAATAAGAAGCCCATAGTTACCTGATACCCTATCAGTCAGGTAGCCCTTAGAATTTAGAGATCATGAAAAAAAAAAAAAAAAGAATTTAGAGATCATGTCTTCTTGATCTCTGCAGACCTACCACTTAGTAAGTGGCTGAAACCTGGTATAGACAGAACATTGTTAATTCAAGAATGAAGGAATATGGAAAATGCAAAGATATCAGGGAGCACTTTACCTTGGTCTCTTCTTTATCTTCCAGAGAAAACTCCATCAATTCATGTGAAAACTCTGTCTGGTGTTCTCCTAGTTCTGAATTTTTATCCAATTTTGGAAGTGTAGTAATGGGACTTCCCAGATATTTCATTTCTCTTTCCACCAAGTTTCCATTGTCCTATCAATTATGTTGACAATATTAAAAACTATTCAGAACCCTTATGTGATATTATATATATGTTATATTATATACAAAAATTAACTCAAAATAAAGCAAAGACTTAAACATAAAAGCTAAAATTATAAAACTCTTACAGGAAAATAGTGGGAAATGTTCATGACATTGGATTTGGCAATAATTTTGTGAATATGACAGAAGCACAGGCAACAAAAGAAAAACTGGATAAACTGGACTTAAAAAATTAAAAAAAAATTTTAAATGTTTTTCATTTATTTCTCAGAGAGAGAGGGAGAATGAGCAGGGGAGGGTCAGAGAGAGAGGGAGACATAGAATCTGAAACAGGCTCCAGGCTCTGAGCTAGCCGTGAGCACAGAGCCCGACGAAGGGCTTGAACCCACGAACTGTGAGATTATGACCTGAGCTGAAGTCGGATGCATAACAGACTGAGCCACCCAGGTACCCCTGGACTTAACAAAATTAAAAACTTTTGTGCATCAAAAAACACCACCAAGAAAGTAAAAAGGCAACCCACCAAATTGGAGAAGATATTGACAAATCATATATCTGATAAGGTTTTAATATCCAGAATATATTAAAAAAAAAAACTCATATAGCTGAACACCAAAAAACCACACAGAATGAAAAATGGTGCAGCTGCCATGGATAACAGTATGGCAGCTCCCTCCAAATTGAATACAGAATTATCGTATAATCCAACAATTCCATTTCTGGGTATATAACCCAAAAAATGAAAGCAAGGATTTGAACAAGGATTTATTTCTATACCAGTGTTCATAGCAGCATTATTCACAATAGTCAAAGGTGGAAACAACCTGGGCACCTGGGTGGCTCAGTTGGTTAAGCGTCCGACTCTTGATTTTGGCTCAGATCATGATCTCATAGTTTGTGAGTTTGAGCCCAACATCAGGCTCAGCATTAGCAGCGCTAGCCTACTTGGGATTCTCTGTCTCCCTATTTCTCTGCCCTTCCCCTGTTGTCTCTCTCTCTCTCTCTCTCTCTCTCTCTGAAAATAAACAAAGAAACATTAAAAAATAAATAAAGCTTAAAAAAAGAAGAAGACTACCTAGTAATTTACCAGACTCCAAGTCTTCCTTTACTACAAGAAATCAAAAATCCGAAACATGGTCAACTTAATCTATTTAGGATGGGCTATGTTAAAATGATTTTTCCCTAGGACTGAGATTAGACCCCAAATCCCTGGTATATCTTGAACTACTGTCTATTAAAGGAAGTGAGTATCTGGATAACTTAAGATACCAGTATCTAGGGGCCCCTGGGTGGCTCAATCAGTTATGCATCTGACTTTGGCTCTGGTCATGATCTCACAGTTTGTGGATTCGAGCCCCATGTCAGGCTCTGTGCTGACAGCTCAGAGCCTAGAGCCTGCCTTTCTCTGCTCCTTCTCCATTCTCCTCTCTTTGTCTCTCAAAAATAAATAAAAGTTTAAAACAAATAAATTTTTAAAATAATTAAAAAAAATAAAGACTCCAGGATCTAAATGGACAGAAGCACAATCATTTAGTAGCAAACTGTGCATAGCTACATGAAATCACTACTAAGAGTTTTTAACATAAAACATTTTATTTGGGGGCCTGAGTGGCTCAATCAGCTGAGCGTTGACTACTTCAGCTCAGGTCATGATCTCATGGTTTGTGGGTTCAAGCCCCACGTCGGGCTCTGTGCTGACAGCTACCTCAGAGCCTGGAGCCTGTTTCGGATTCTGTGTCTCCTTCTCTCTCTGCCCCTCCCCAGTTCACACTCTGTCTCTCAAAAATAAATTAAAAAATGTAAAAAAAAAACAAAAAACATTTTATCAATCTAATTGGCAGTTAAAAAAATAATTTATCAAAAGAGCTATTGATTACTCATGAATATGTAAATTCTTATAACCTTTTTGGAAAAGAATCTGGAAATATGTATCACAAATCTTAAAAATATATCCTTTAATCTAGTAGTTATAATTCTTGGTACTAATCCTAAAGAAAAATTTTTGAAATGTAGGCAAATTAGGGTAAAAGCAGCCAATAAAAAATGTTTTGAAACTGGAAGTTTCAAAATTAACTTAGGGGCGCCTGGGTGGCTTAATCGGTTAAGTGTCCGACTTTCACTTAGGTCATGATCTCGCGGTTCGTGGGTTCGAGCCCCGCGTCGGGCTCTGTGCTGACTGCCAGCTCAGAGCCTGGAGCCTGTTTCGGTCTGTGACTCTCTCTCTGACCCTCCCCTGCTCACGCTGACTCTCTCGCTCTCTCCTAGAAATAAAACATTAAAAAAAATTTAAAAAAAAACAAAAACAAAATTAACTTAAAAAAAGAGGATATAAAGTTATGTATATGGAGCACCTGTGTGGTTCAGTTAAGTATCTGACTCTTAATTTCAGCTCAGGTAATAATCTCACAGTTCGTGAGACAGAGCTCCACATCAGGTTCTGCACTGTCAGAGAATCTTGGGGTTCTCTCTCTTACACTTTCTCAGCCTCTCCCCCACCTCTATCAAAAATAAACTTATTAAAAAAGAAAGCTCTTGGGGCTCCTGGGTGGCTCAGTTGGTTAACCATCCGACTTCAGCTCAGGTCATGATCTCACAGTTCGTGGGTTCGAGCCCTGCGTCGGGTTCTGTGCTAGCAGCTCAGAGACTGTGGCCTATTTGGGATTCTGTGTCTCCCTCTCTCTCTGACCCTCCCCTGCTCATGCTCTGTATCTCTCTGTCTCAAAAACAAAAAAACAAAAAAACTATCAAAAAAAGGCTCTTTAAAAAAAGCTTATATATATGTAATTAATGACTTCAACTCTGTAAAGCTATACACATAGTTAGAAGAATTTAAAAAATATATGAGGTAAACTGTTAATAGCAGTTTTTCTCTATGAGGTAGCTATTTTCTTTTTTATATTTCCTATATATATTTTTTATAGTTTATTTTGAGAGAGAGAGAGAATGCAAGCCAGAGAGGAACAGAGAGAGGGGGACAGAGGATCCCAAGCAGCTTTGTATTTTCAGCACAGAGCCCAGTGCAGAGCTTGAACTCACAAACTGTGAGATCATGACCTGAGCTAAAATCAAGAGTTGGACACTTAAATGACTGAGACACCCAGGCACCCCTATATTTCCTATGTTTTTAAAACATTTTCACAATGGGTACTTTTAAAATTAGGGTGGGAAGGAGACAGGTAAATAATAAAATAGAAAAAAAATTTTTTTTAATTTAATGTTTATTTATTTTTGAGAGAGAGAGAGAGAGCAAGGGAAGGACAGAGAGAGAGGGAGACATAGGATCTAAAGCAGCCTCTGCTCTGACAGCAGAGAGCCTGATAAGGGGTTCAAACTTACCAACCACAACATGAACTGAAGTTGGATGCTTAACTGACTGAGCCACGCAGGGACCCCAAAATAGAAAAATTTTAAAGGCCTAAGAATTTTTTAACAAATAAAAAGATCAGAGGAAATGTCTCTTCCTTTTCCCAGAGTTACTTCTCCAACCACTATTCTCACCTAAGCCAGCTTAGAACAACTGAAAGGGTTATAATGGAGATCTACCATCCTATAATCCACAACAACTCAGAAGATCCTTGATGAGGATGTTCAGTGACTCACCAGTAGAGAAAGGGGAGAAATGTAAGGCTCCCCTGGTCTCTTTTTAAACTTCAGGCTCCTGGGCACCCACCACTTGGATGACTTCAAAGTGTTGTTCTCTTACATAAGAAAAACTACATTGGCTGGAGGAAGACAAGTGTCAGCAAGCCCTGCCAAAAACGTTTCATCAGGTGAAGCCACGAATAACCCTCACAAAACATATTAAGTGTAATCAAGGTTGATCCTGTACCCTGATGATATAAAGTATGGTTTGGATTTGATATACTATATGTAGATTTGCTTTGGAGGATACTGATTTTATTATCACAAGTCAAAGGAAGGGAAGAAAAGGGGAGCCTGAGTAAGGAGGTAATGGTGAGATTTCCAAAAAGTGATTATGAGCACAGTATCAAATCAAGAACAAGCTGATTAGAACAGTCAAAAGCATGAGTATAAGTTAGTCAATGTGAGAAAAGAAGAAGAGGAGCTATCTTTTATATATACTGACCTGGGGAAAGGATGAGTGACAGCAAAAAGAAAAAGATGGCTAGAAAAGAGTATTCAGGGCACCTGGGTGGCTCATTCAGTTAAGTGTCCAACTCTTGATTTTAGCTGGGATCATAATCTCCTGGTCATGGGATGGAGCCCTGTATCGGGCTTGGTGCAGTGCCTGGAGCCTGCTTGGGATTCTCTCTCTCTCCCTTTCTCTTTGCTCCTCCCCCGCTTATGCTCTCTCTCTCTTTCAAATAAACACACACACACACACACACACACACACACACAAAACAAAACAAAACAAAACAAAACAAAACAAGAAAAGAGAATTCGTTGAAGGGACTAGTTAGAGAACGATCTTAGTGATTAGGTGGCTCTGTGGAGCCCAGTTTCACCTTAGAACTGAATGAAGGCCAGAGGCCCAGACTACAAAGCCCATGGCTTTCTCAGAACATGGGCTAAGAAGCTTGACTAAAGGAGAAATAAGAAGAAATTAAGAAAACCCGTACATGAAGTCATGCACAGAGTATGTGAACAACTTCTGTACATTATCTGTATCTGTTTTAAAAAATAGTCCTAAATTCCCAAACTACAGTAACAGATTTTTGTCCTTAAAACAATCAACTGAACATGAGGAATAATGGTGATCTGCTGTGGAAGACACGGAGCTAGGTTTCTGTTCTAGGGTCAAATCTTAAAGAGGAAAAAACAAACCATAAAGAATTTTTTGCCGGGGCGCCTGGGTGGCTTAATCGGTTAAGCGTCCGACTTTCGCTTGGGTCATGATCTCATGGTTCGTGGGTTCGAGCCCCGCGTCGGGCTCTGTGCTGACTGCCAGCTCAGAGCCTGGAGCCTATTTCAGAGTCTGTAACTCCCTCTCTCTCTGACCCTCCCCTGCTCACGCTCTCTCTCTCTCTCCTAGAAATAAATAAAAAAATATTAAAAAAAAAAAAAAAAAGAATTTTTTGCCTTATGGTGATGCAGTTTGCTTGTCTGCATACTGAGGAATAATAGTTCTGGGTCTCATAATGATACTGATGAGTTGCTCCCTTCACAGGAGAAAAGTACTAATGTATCTAGGTTTCCATTTAACACTCACATTTTCTTTATTTGTGGGCGAGCTACAAACTGCATCTTTCTTCCTGTTGCCACGGTCCAAAACATTTGGAGTGCTACAAAGCAGCTGCGCCTACAAGAGAACGTTTTCTAAGAACATCCAGCATCCTTGAGCTACAGGTGAACTGGAAACCCTCTGCTTCCCACCTGAGAAACAAACCCAAACCAAAGAAAGAGATGCTACTCACTGGGCTGCATTTTGTAAGGTGCTGGTGATGACTCCTGAAGGTCAAAAAACAAACAAACAAAAAAACCAAAAAAACCTGCCAGTCAGTAAACCCCAAATACTGGTTGGTTATTCATCAATGGCTTGTGGCATTCCAACTTTTCCTTATTTCCACTCTAGGAGCCTTACATCTAGTTGGTATGTCTCTATACAACAAGTGCTCTCTGTGGCAGATATGAAGATATTAAGTGACATCCTAGGGATAAGGCCCTAATAACCATATATACAGATATGCATTAAAGATGATGAGTTTGTCCTACATCTTATGTAGACCAAATTTACTAATTTTCCAGCATTGACTATTGGGAGCTAATATTTATTTTTTATGAATTACTATCCTTCCTGCCAAAATTTTATTCAGTCTGCATGAGTGAGGATTTTTAAAGCAAGTTGAAGAAACTACAAGCAATCTAAAGTGAAATTTTCACATGTATTATTAAAAACAGTGGAAGGGCAGTTGGCTGGCTCAGTCAGTTAAACAACTGATTCTTGATTTCAGCTCAGGTTATGATCCCTTGGTCAGTGGGATAGAGCCCTGTGTCAGGCTCTGCCCTGGCAGTGTGGAGTCTGTGATTCTCTCTCTCGCTCTGTCTCTGCTCTTCCCCTACTCTCTCTCTCCCTCAAAAATAAACGTTAAAAAAACTGTTAAAAAAATAAAGTCTTAATAAATAAGCTAACTAATTAAAAAAAAACAAACAAAAGCAGTCATGGAAGCCTCTCACTAGTGCCCTAAAGTGGCACCTAATTCACCTAAACACATAAGGATAAAGTTCTAAAAAGATTAAAAGAGCCAAATGGAAACCTTACAATAAGTTTAAGAAGTTAAGAATTTGAATTAAAATTATTTCATTCCTGGAGCATTCCCTGATTGAATATTTTAAGATCTCCAACCGAGAGTCTCCACGAATAACAATAACAAACATTATAAAATGGTTCATATGTGCCGAATTCCATCCTCACAAGAGCAGTTATAAAAAGTACTAGTATTATGTCCTTTGTTATTTATTACAAATGAAGAAACTGCGGTCCAGTAAAGAAACTCTTCAGAGTCACAGTTGGTGAAATAGTAGGCCCCTGGAACTCATGCTCTCACACAGCACTACTCACACGCAGGAAACAGCCTATGCCTAAGCGCAACATACCATTTCCTTCATTTTTAGAGATAATACGGGTTATATGTAATGATTAAAATGAACTATTTAGGGGCACCTGGGTGGCTCAGTCGGTTGAGCATCTGACTTCGGCTCAGGGCATGATCTCATGGTTCATGAGTTCGAGCCCCGCGTTGGGCTCTGTGCTCACAGCTAGCTCAGAGCCTGGAGCCTATCTCAGATTCTGTGTCTCCCTCTCTCTCTGGCCCTTTTCTGATCATGCTGTTTCTCCCTCAAAAATAAAAACATTAAAAATAATTTTTTTTAAATGAACTATTTAGATCTGGGCAACTTAAGAAAACTTTCCACTGAAGGACTGAGGCCTTCAAGCCCACTTACACCCAAAGTGAAAGGTTCCATATACTGCAGAGACTGCACAGGCACAGGATAAAATTCCTGTGCCAGAGCTGAAAAGGCTTCAGCATGGGGTTCATTTAGCAAAAGAACTTACATCCCAGCTAAATGTATGTCCTGAGGTCCTTCAGATTCCAAGTGACCTGCAATCAAATGTGAAGTGTTAATCTTGTCCACACATCCTGTTTTTCCTTCTCATTTTGTTCATTGTCAGTAAGCCATATTAATTTCAAAAGCTGATGTTTTGAACACATGGGCTCTTGATAGATAACCAATTTTATGGTACAAGGTACATGTTCATGAAAACTAGGGGCGCCTTACTGGCTCAGTCAGTTAAGCATCTGGCTTCGGCTGAGGTCATGATCTCATGGTTCATGAGTTCAAGCCCCACACTGGGCTCTGTGCTGACAGCTCAGAGCCTGGAGCCTGCTTCAGATTCTGTGTCTCCCTCTCTTTCTGTTCCTCCCCCTCTCGTGCTCTGTCACTCTCTCTCTCTCTCTCTCAAAAATAAGTAAAAGCATTTTAAAAATTAAAAAAAAAAGTTCATGAAAACTTAAGAATTTATGTATGTTACTTAAGAATTTATGCCAGGGGCGCGTGGGTGGCTTAGTCGGTTAAGCGTCCGACTTTCGCTTAGGTCATGATCTCGCGGTTCGTGGGTTTGAGCCCCGCGTCGGGCTCTGTGCTGACTGCCAGCTCAGAGCCTGGAGCCAATTTCAGAGTCTGTATCTCCCCCTCTCTCTCTGACCCTCCCCTGCTCACGCTGTCTCTCTCTCTCTCCTAGAAATAAATAAAAAATTTAAAAAAAAAAAAAGAATTTATGCGGGAAACAGTGCACAACACTAACCAACAGATTTTTTTTCATGAGTAGAAAATAATGCTGATCACTCAGGAAATAGAACATCTACTCTGAAAATAGAACAAATACTAAAATGGTTGACTAGTGGGGCGCCTGGGTGGCTCAGTCAGTTAAGCATCCAACTCTTGACTTGGGCTCAGGTCAAGATCTCATGGTTTTGGAGATTGAACCCTGAGTCAGGCTCTGTGCTGACAGCGTGGCCTGCTTGGGATTCTGTTTCCCTGTCTCTCTGCCTCTCTCCTGCTTGCTCTCTATCTCTCTCAAAATAAATAAAAATAAACTTTAAAAAATGATCAACTAGTGGGGCGCCTGTGTGGCTCAGTCAGTTAACTTTTGGACTTTGGCTCAAGTCATGATCTCACAGTTGTGGGCTTGAGACCCAAATCAGCTCTCTGCTGCCAGCACAGAGCCTGCTGTGGATCCTCTGTCTTGCTCTCTCACTCTCTCTGCCTCTCTGCAGCTCATGAGTGCTCATTCTCTCTCTCTCAAAAATAACATTTAAAAAAAATTGTTGACTAGTAAAGCGCACTCCTTTTGGGCTCAGGCCCTTCAAAAACACAAGAATTAGTTTAAAAAGTATTTCATTAAGTCTCTTTGCCTTTGCTGAGATTAGGCTAGAGCATAAAATGTCTCATTTTAACTACTACTTTCATTCCAATCATCAATCAGTTAACAAAATATTCCTTCTTGTCTAAATTTTTCTTTTTTTTTAAGTTTTTTTTAATGTTTTATTTATTTCTAGGAGAGAGAGAGAGAGAGACAGCGTGAGCAGGGGAGGGTCAGAGAGAGAGGGAGTCACAGACTGAAACAGGCTCCAGGCTCTGAGCTGGCAGTCAGCACAGAGCCTGACGCGGGGCTCGAACCCACGAACCACGAGATCATGACCTAAGCGAAAGTCGGACGCTTAACCGACTAAGCCACCCAGGCGCCCCTCTTCTTGTCCAAATTTTTCAAAGGCAAAATGACTCCTATTAATGTTATTACATTTCTCTTTTTGGCTTATCATACTCAAAAATCCCCTAGGTATCCAGACAATTTCAACTTCAAGACTCTCTACCTACTTTTAAAAAAAAAATTTTTTTTTTAATGTTTACTTATTTTTGAGAGAGAGAGAAAGTCAGAGTGTAAGCGTGGGAGGGGCAGACAGAGAAGGAGACAGAATCTGAAGCAGGCTCCAAGTTCTGAGCTGTCAGCACAGGACCTGATGTGGGTCTCAAATTTAAGAGCCATGAGATCATGACCCAAGCCAAAGTTGGATGGGCTTAACTGACTGAGTCACCCAGGTACCCCTCTACTTACTTTTACCACGTTCCATCTCTATCTGACTACTCTGTTCTCTCCCTTAGAAGTTGTTCTTTCCTTTGAGGTCTTTACTTCCCTTCACCTTACCAGTTTCATCAAGGTCTGCAGAAGTGGTAAGCTGATTGGCAGACATCTCCCCACCACTACTAAGATTTGAAAGATCAAGGCAACATTTTGGGGTTCCTCTGTTGAGACATAATAGTACATCAAGATTCCCATTAGGTTGTAATATCCTTGAAAGGCAAAGATCACAGTATCCTCTTCATTTCAAACACCCCTCAGGAACCTTTTCTCTACTCCAATAATTTGCGTCTCTTTTCCTCCTCACCAACATATCGAGATAAGTAATTTTTTTTCAAATTTTTTTTCAAATTGGGGACCAAAGATTATTGGCTGAAGTGGGTCTTGACCCCACATCTTTTGCCCTACACACTGTGAGTACACAGATTTGATTTCTCTCTGGAGTTTCTAGTACTTCTCAGGTCTATAACTCTCCAACTTCATTTGCTAGCTAAGACATCAGACCATGGCATGACCAGAATTTAAAGTACAGTAATAATACCACTAATATTAAAACAAATAAAATGACCAACTCCTATAATGCAATAGAGTTTTCAAAGACTTTGCCCAGACATCATATATTTAATTCTCACAAGATCCTAGTAAGATCGGAAGAGATTATTATTTCTATGTCACAAAAAAGAAGCCTGAGTTTCAAAAGTCACAATGTTACGGAAGGGTAGGGTTTAAAAGTTAAACCCTGATCTTTGAGCCATGATAATTAAAACAACAGTTTTTTAATGTTATTTATTTTTGAGAGAGAGAGAGAGGAGGAGGGACAGGGAGAGAGGGAGACACAGAATGTGAAGCAGGCTCCAGGCTCGGAGCTGTCAGCACTCACAAACCTTGAGATAGTGACCTGACCTGAAGTCAGAAGAGTAACTGACTAAGCCACCCAAGCGCCTAACCACCCCCCTCCTTTTTTTTAATGTTAATTTATTTTTGAGAGAAAAAGAGACAGAGTGTGAGTGGGGCAGGGACAGGGAGAGAGGGAGACCAGAATCTGAAGCAGGAGCCACAAGAATTTTTTAAAAACCCAAGGCTGCACCTGGGTGGCTCAACTGGTTAAACTCCCAACTCTCGCTCACATCATGATATCACAGTTTGTGAGTTCCAGCCCCGCACTGGGCTCTGCACTGACATCACAGAGCCTGCTTGGGATTCTCTCTCTCTCTCTGCCCCTCTCCTGCTCATGCTCTATCAAAATAAGTAAACAAAATTTTTACAATAAATAAACAAATAAATAAATAGGGGCACCTTGGTGGGTCAGTTGGTTGAGCAACATGCTTCACCTCAGGTCATAGTCTCAAAGTTGGTGAGTTCGGCCCTTCAATGGGCTTGCTGCTGTCAGCTCAGAGCTGGCTTCAGATCTTCTGTCCCCCCCCCCCCCCCCCCCCCCCCC